GTTGGGAAGCAAAACCAAGACGACGCGCTGGTTGATGTCTCAACACCACCGTCCGGCTCAACTACGATCGTCCGGAGCAAAGATCTCTACTCTGCTAATGTCCAAGCCGAAGGGAGGACTGGAATTCTCCTTGACTTCAATTCCACTCCTCCAAGGAAGAGTCTTCCGGGCGCGGAAAATAGTTTGTCGATGAGCCCAGCCCTGCAAGATTTGGAAGGCATCAATTTTCAAGCAAATGTTGCACAAAGTGTTCTTTCGAGGCCAGAACTGCGGCCAGAAACGCAGATATACTCTTTCATTAAGACTGAGCTAGTCGGTTCGAAGGACTCTTCCAGCCCAAGGATCGGGGAAAGCAGTGGTGATACGATGACCCCTACGCCTGACGGTACACCATCTGATCTAGCTGCCCTCCGAGAAAAGCTCGCACGCCTTTGCAAATTTGTGGAGGAAACATTGCGCCACCATGTGCCTGAGCCGCTCCGAGATATGGACTTGCAAGCTCTCAGGAAGTACGAACAAGAGCTCAAAGAGATACTTTCCTTGCACCAACGAACAGTGCAGGAGACTGCCTCACAGACTGCCGGAAAGCGACAGGAAATTCTCTCATCTCACAAACCTCAGGAAACAAAAGCTGAAACAGCTGTGGAAGGAAAACATTCCAAGATATCCTCCCCCACACCGTCAGTCTGTTCTCCTCCGGTGAAAGCTCCTCTTGAGGAAAGCAATAGTAAACTTAGTCTGCGTTCCGAGGAGACACCTAGTCCGTCTAAATTCAATGTGCAAGCGAAGGAATTCATCCCAACGGTTGCTGCCAGGAATCCCAGTTTCAGTGGCTGGCGAGATACTAAGCCTAGCCCTCCAAGCTCAACAACCTCCGAGTCACGAACTGGACAGTCACAACATTCTCGCCAGAATAGTCGAGATCATATGCTTATTGATTCGACTGCTTCTCTTTCTTCACGATTTACATCTCAGCTCCCACCGCGCGGACGTCAGGCCAGTGACAATCATATCTTTGGTGATCATTTATTGCCCGGTAGGGGAAGACTCAATGGTAAGACACATGGGAACGAAGCATTATCGCCAGATAAGAACGCGTTGAAGGGTATCTATTCTTACATTTGTGATCTTTACCTAACCATTGCTGACGCCTCATGTGTGTAGAGCCGAATGATACTCGTCCGAAATTCTCGACTCCAACAATGCCACAAGCCCTTACTGTGCCTAGAGCAAGACCTTCCGTCCCCGAAAGTATAAACACGCATGGAACATCGAACTCGGAATCTGCCAAATCCACTAGTGCGTCGTGCAGTACTGGTGAACCTTCTCCAAGACCTGTCCGGTTGGCAACCACTGCGCCAGGAACTGGATCTAATGGTGTGAAGTCAAATTCAGACTCGGGCCCATCTACTCCTACTTCTGTGCCCAAGGCAGTCAAAGCGCTGCATAAAGCTATTCCGAAGGTGAGTGCTATTTCGCAGGTGAATGCATTGCAACGGTCTATGCATGCTCCAAAGGTGCAAGAGAATCCCACGGCCATGAGAAATCCGAGCCCCTCAGCGTTGGGCGGCCTCGGCTCGATCTATGCAACACCAGTGGTGCAAAAGCCTACTGTAGCAGCACCTGAGAATCGCAAGTCCAGTGGCCTTCAGGGCTCGAGATGGGCAAGCTCTGAGACTCAAAAGCCACTGCGTTGATGATCGCCCACAGGCACGAATTGCGTTATCCGATTGTCTTCTCTGACTAATCTTACTCTATTTTCCTTTTCTCTTGATTATGTGTGACGAACCTCCCAAATGAAAAATCTGTACGATTAGCTAGCCCTCGCTGTTCTTTCTCTAGTTAGCACTGCAACGTTGAAAAGTATTTATGATTGTCATTCCCCTTTTCAGCACCTCTTACCTCTTTTGTCGTTCCGAGGGCACCTTCCTTCCTCATGCCCCATCGCATGTAGGCAAGATGAGTGGCGACAAGAGTACTCAAACACAAACATTCTGCCATCTAAACACAAGCATTTTGACTATATGACGGTGCTACATTGCGTACACAGTTGCTAGATGTATTGGGACGAATAATTCGATCTGTTCATCTGCAAAGGCAGCGACAAAGGCTTGAATGCTTCGTCGAATCCATTAGACCGTCGCCTGATGCTGTCCTGACAGCTCTCCCTGCCACGAGCCCCGTGATGAGAAAGTGGAACATGCAGAGAAAGGGGCTAGTTCTTGCCATCTTATGCTTAAGGGCTATATATGATTAATGCTCGAATGATCCTTGACGGCAAGCAAACGATGCAGGTCGCATCCATCAGTCCTTTCCTTGTTCGGAATCAAGCAACCATTTAATGCTCATTGTAAATCATTCCGCCTTGAAGGCCGGTCAAACGGACGGAAAGTGCCCAAAGATAAAGATGAAGATGCAGATCTAGCTGTAACCATCAAACAGTGACCAAATGCTAATCTGCCGTCCCAGTAACTATGCCGTTATCGCCTAAACGCCGGCTACTCAACAAACTCTCTAAAATGACGACGAGGAGGTAAGCGAACACGATGAGCGTGAAAGACCAAGTATACACTATTGCTGCTGTTGCTGCTGCGGCGGTAAGGACGGCGTCGAATTTCCGTCAATCTTGGGTCTTTTGGGATCATTGGCATTGACTGCTGAAGCAGGCCCGCTGCTGCCAGAGACAGATGCATTCGTCACGTCACTTAAAGGCGGTCGTTTTCCATTAACATTGGGTGGTCCAAATCCGGCTCTGTTTGCAGCTGCGTTGCTTGCAGCGAGTTTTGGATCGAGATTTTGCCGAGTCAGTGGGCGGTATGATGAAGTCGTCTGACCCCGGTTCATCATTGGACTGCCAATACCACCAGGGGCGCCAATTTTTCGATGCATGTCCGTGGAAGGATTGATAAAGTCGCGCGTATTGCTTGAAGCTGGCGAGGCTCCCGCAAGCATTGGCTTCGATATCGGGACACTCTTGCTATGATCGACGCCCGCTGTCTTGCGGATCGAGGGACTTTCGGCGTGGGGATCGAATTGGGGAGCATTCACGGCAGTATGTGGGTTTTCCCGCAACAAATCTACTGCTCGAGCTGAAAAGAATGAGGCAGGCGGAACAGAGGGTGAACTGGCCGGGGGAGCTGTGTCCTGAGCTTTAGCGTCAAATTCTCGCTTGATAGGCATTTGCCCTGCAGCGCTTGGCAAGTTTGAATCTTGGCTAGTTCTTGGTTGATCTGGGGGCGCCATTCTGCTGTTTTGAAAGTTCTGCTGTTGTCCTTGCGGGACAGGTTGCCTTTGTCCGACATATTGGTTCTGCAGCGCAGGATTGTGTCTTTGATTGAGAGTGGGCGGAACGGAAGGTTGTCTGTTGTTGACTGTTTGGTTGAATGGCCTTTCTGGCCTTGAAGGTGTGACGACTGCCGGGTTTGGGCGGTGGAAATTCCCCTGAGGGCCTGTCTTTACAGGAGTCGGTGGTTGTGGTTTTGCTTGGGCTTCTGGTTCCAGTACTATCTCATCGGGGTTCCCAGAGGCCGTAACTCCAAAATCGGCCTCGTCAAAGAGATCACCTAAATTCATTAGCCATGAGTGAACAGAAGAAATAAACATGGTCTGTTTTGCTTACTTCCAAACTCCCCATCGCCATCAAACACAGCAGTATCATTTGTACTTGTAGTTTTCCCAGCATTCGGTAGCCGAGGAGGTAGGTCGTCATCCTCTGGGACGGGTTTTGGTAGAACAGGCTCCTTCTTTATCGGTGCGTAGTCAGGATGCCGGTGAAGTTCGTCAACATCCCATCTGGCCTATAGCTTGGTCAGAACAAGACACTGTTCGAGTATCAAGCCGAGGTTTGCAACATACGGGCGTGGCTTTCACTTTGGTAACTTTCGCAACATAATCCTTGTCGTATATGCAATTACCCAGAACGTTGCCGAAATTCCTCAACGCACGTTTAAGTGCATCAGTAGTTCCTTCTTTCTTGGCCTTTTCAAAAGCAGCAGCCTTTCCTTTGCAATTCTCAATATGACCGTAACCGATATCCTGAGTTGATCCAGACCAGTTAGTAAGAACGACTGTGTGGAAGCAACCATGAAAACATACTTCATGGTAAGTACCATCCTTCAGTGTTACCCTCACAATGACCGATAACCCCAAGCTGATTTTCCCAGTATTTTGACTTTCCTCAACCTGTCACGGAGCATCCATTAGCAATTTCTCCCCATCGCCGCCCGGACGCATTCTGATCCGTTTCATCGAACATACAAAATCAATCTGAATATTCTGTATCGAACTCGACCAGCCGTTGAAGCCAAACACCTCGTTGGCAAGATTGATGCATTTATCCGCGGATAGATAGTGCACCTTCTGTCCCGCGGCGCCAGGCCTCGAGGAGATGTATTCAGGGCCCAATTTCTTATCCAGACGTGCTTGAAGCGTAGCAATTTCCTGCGCCGTATACTCGCTGATACGCCGAGGCGGCTCTTCAAATGGGTTGCCGGACATATTTCCTGTCGAATTAGGCATCATGACGCATACTGGACCACTGCGGTGTTGGTCGCCGACACTGGGGTAAGTCGCGATTAGCTTTGGTCACGGGCATAACAATACGATTAAGGATCGCATATTAGCTTACGCGGGCATAATTCAGTGATATGAATAAGCTGCAAATATCAGGTCATTGAAGCCCGCACGTATTTATGCTTTGTCGAGCAGAATGATGAGGCAATGAGGCTGTGAGTATTTGATGATGAGGAGCACCGAGCTAATGAGACGCGTTGGGCTACACGGACATGTCGCGACATCACGTGATCAATACATGAATACATTTACTTGGACCAGCGCTGCATTCACTGATTAGTAGTTGCGTATCTGGAGGGCTATTGCTTCAATTTTTACGCAGTAGACTTGGTTGGATAGTAATTGTCTGCGTTAAATATCGTAATCAACCTGAAAAGTGGTTGCAGCCTGACTCAGGCGGCCAGCCTCACCGAGTCCAATACCAGAAATTACTGGACTATAAGACTGGCGCTGGGAATAAGTCCAAGGTCTTTTAGAGACTCACCGAAGAACTCGGCGTTGTACACTTTTCTAGGAAAGTTTTGCACGAAGCTTTGCACCTCAATGCCGTCCTCCTGTTGCAAGGCTGCGGCAACTTCGAACAAGGTAGTAGTGACGGGCATTGTTTTCATGACGTTCCCCTTGGGCGTCTGGAATCTCAGTCGAGTCTCAGTGTAAGCAGCTGCGGGCTTGGAAGCAACAGGTCCCGAGGTTGTAGGCGCTGGAGCAGCTTGTTGTGCAGGAGGTGCCATGCCGGCACGCTCCGCTTTCTCCCGCTCAGCTCTCAGTCTCCGCTCTTCTTTATCCGCTTCGATCCTGGCTTTAATGCGACGCTTGACTTCAAGTTCCTCCAGTTTCTCTTGCTTCTTCTTGGCCGCTTCCTTCATCATCTGTTTCCTCTGCAGCTCTTCCTTGATGTCTTGCGATTCTTTGGTGCTCTTCCGTCGAATTTCCTGTACCGAAACTTATCAGTAGGTGATGTTGAAGTGGGCTAACAGAATGCCCTCACCTCATTCCTTTTCTGATCTAGTTTATCCTGCTCAGCCTGTACCGCTCGCTTTGCGGCCAACTTCTGCCGGAGCTCCTCCAATCTGGCCTTCTTCTCCTCTTCTGTCAAGGGTGCGATCTCTTCCGTTGACTCTGAGAAGTCCACATGCCCGGACTTAGATGCGTGGAATTCTGCCTGTGCCTGGCTGCGGAACTTTTTGCCACATTCGTTACAAGCCAGACTGCGGGGTTCTTCACCGGGTTGCAACGCGGGCCCCTCCTCATTCTCCCCTTCTTTCGACCCAGCAGCCTTTATTTCCTCCAACGACTTGTCTTGGTTTTCCTCAAGCCACTCTAAAGCTCCTTGGACTGAAATTGATCGAAGGGAAGATCAGTACTTCATACGAGGTGACGAGTGAGGGGTGCCCTTACGACCACCGGTTCTTGCCACCGCCAGCTCCGCTCTCTCTTTATCGAAGCCCATTTCAATGAGCTGATCCAAGTCTGAAGTAGCCATCTCTTACTCCCAACTGATAATTCTGAAGAAGGTTATGCCCTGACGTGGGGGAACTGTCGAGAGTTTTGGAGCGGAAGTAGAGGCCGAGCCGTAGAGACCCTAAAGCTTCTCCGATATGCGAGAAGAGAACGTTAAGGTTAGATATGTTGGTTTCTGCAGCTGTCCAGGGGCTGGAGTAGGAATGGAAAAGCTGCAGTTGGCTGAAAAGGAGATTGTACACAGCAGTAGGTAGATAGATGCCAGTTTACAAGTGACGTATAGCCTTTGAGCCAAGGCGGCGGAGCGAGAGGTGCGGGATGGTCCACTTTTACTAATTAACGGCGGAGTCTAGGTACCAGAAATCTTACATCTTATTATTGTTCTAGCAAGCATAACCGTCATTACAAAGAACTAATTGTTACCATTAGGGCTGAGATCATAAGAGAAATGAAGGTTATGTTGTTTTCACTGAGAGCGCATATAATATAACTCAGGAGGAAAGAGTCTTACAAAACCTAGAAGATCGTCCACTACGGAGTACAAAGTGGTATATAAGTGATAAAGTTGGGCAAAAAGAAGCATGTAAGCAGAGATGGTTACTAATTAGACAACAGTAACAGGGATAGCCAGCTGTCGGCCCCATTCAGAGTATGAAGGTTGGTCTTTATCAGAAGGCTCTCTCTTACTTCGCCGATCATTCCACACGGATTTCTGGTAGAGTACTTCGGGCCATTGGTCCCGTGATAGCTGGAAGGAAGATATCTAGTTATTTCCGATGACACTGTTGTCTCTTAATAGAGATTGAACAAGACTGATAATGTAGTGAAATCTGACTTGCAATGTCACATCAATACCCCCGACGCTATAAGAGTACAAGGAGTCAGGATTTCTCTCTGCTCTGAAAAGGATTAATTCTCCGGTGGAAAGGATGTCACATCCATACATGTGTCATGTCCTCATTCCTGATAAACAAATCGGCTTCTTTTGGTTCATGATCGGAATGTTTCGAGGATCTCAGCCTGTGGATCCCCAAGGCCGTGAACCGAACCAGAACATACAGATCTAGAGCATCGACGTATGTATCCGTTCAGTGAGCCCAACCGCGAAGATACTGTCAGAAGACTTAGTTAGTGTAAGAGGCCGGCACTCTAAATTCGCCCAGGTCTTACCTCTGAACAGTTGAAAGTATGGCGTCGATCGTAAAAGCACCTGTGATGACATCACCTGACTTGGGCTAAACTTTGCTGACTAATTAGTAGACAGGCACCAATGAGAGCGCAGAGCAGGACTTGCGATATGGAAACGATCCATTATTATTGCAATCAGCTACGTACCTTACTCCGTGATCACCTAACTAGGTACTCCCTTGGCCGAAACAACCGCTTCACGATCTCCCCTACCTTATCCAACCTCCACATTACTGACTAGCTTAATCCACCCACTTCCTTTTTTTTATGATTTGAGTGTCTCTCCATATCTCATCTGCCTCGTTCGCACATCTATTCGCCTTTATTCCGTTACAGCAATGTCCATTCTTCTGGAACCACCTGAGTTGGGGTTCAAACGTGGGTCTTTCCAACCCAGGATTTGTGGGGGACTGGAACATATACGCTGACTGAGAAACCAGGCCCTTTCGATCGCGAAGTCTGTGAGATTCTACACTTGAGCAATACTAATTCAGAGCCCGTGGTCTTCAAGGTATTTAGCAAATGCGCCTCCAGGAAGAGTAGCCTACCATGATCGCACACTAACAAGCCTGTGTGCGTTAGGTCAAAACAACCGCTCCGAAGCAGTCTGTACCTCCTCTAGAATACTAGCTTTGCATATCAGCCTCGAGTATTGACTGACAGTCAACCAGCTACTGCGTTCGGCCCAATTCAGGACGGATAGAACCTGGCAAGAATGTGGATGTCCATGGTTGGTTCATATCTTGAATCTAGTGCTTAGCCCTTGACGGGAGTGCTGATCAGTCGAACAGTGTTACTTCAGGCGATGAAGGAAGAGCCTGCGCCTGATGCCAAATGCAAAGACAAGTTCCTGGTCCAGACCGTCGCCGTGACTGGTGACATGGAGTTCTCCAATGTTTCTTCTATTGTTCGTCTGTCCCTTGCTGCAAGTTGCCTGCCATACTTTCTAATAGCTATTTAGTTCGAGAAAGCTTCAAAATCCTCCATCCAGGAGCGCAAGATCCGTGTGAACTGGCTGCCTGCAGAATCCTCAAATGGCGAGCAGGGGAAGGAGACAAATGGAATTGTGCGCCCCCTTGTCGCATATCAATTATCAACTCCTAGATCACTCATGACTAACTACCAATTCTAGAGTGCACCCGAAGAAGAACCCCCTTCCTATACGTCACCTGGCGCGAACTATCAAACTCCTGCAGTTGGGGCTTCCACCAAAATTTCCAATGACACGTCACCTATCCCACCGCCAGATTTCAGCGAGAAGCCCAAGCGGGATGCCTTCGCCCAACAATCGAATGAGATTTCAGCCACATCTGTCAAATCAAACACATCGGGTATCCCAGCTTCAGCTGATGAGCTGAAGACTCAACTTTCGGAGGCTAATGCTCAGATTCAAAAACTCAAAGAGAGACTTGCGGACCAGGGATTGAGACAGAGAAAGATTGGGGGCGAGAACGAGAAATCAGCGCCTGCGATGCAACAACAGCAGGTCCAACCCGTCGCCGCAGGTGTGCCATTGCAGGTCGTGGCCGGGCTTTGCTTGCTAAGTTTCTTGATCGCGTACTTCTTTTTCTAGACCAATTTTCGCCTTTCCCAGCCTCTTTCTGTCCGGACTTTTCTTTTCTATGTTTCTATTACTTACAGACCCGCTGTATTCTGTTGTGAAGAGCCCTGTCTCTCTAATTTTCTTCCAAGGCGTCAGCTTGCACTTGTATGCCTTCCATCCTTTACAGCTTGCCTTTTCCCATATCTTGTCTCCCCATTCCTTTTGAAAGTATGATTTCCTAGTTACCCTTATGATACGAATCCAGCAGATGCAGCGATTTCTGTCCGTATCTCGCGGAAGAGCACGGGGACCTTTCCATCAAATACCACGCGCAACTTTCGCTTGTGTCGTACGAATTTCCTTTAAAGCTCTTCTGGCTTTGCCGCATGACTACCTTTCATTCTTCGTCTCGGTCTTTCTGCTACTGACACCCAGTTACCAACTCTTTGCAAGCCATTGTATTTTCTTAGACGATTCTCGACACGCTCATAGCCAGGCTGTATCGGGTACATTATGATGAGGTTACTGAAATGTCAATGAATGTATCTTCAAAGGCTCCTCCATTGCAGATGCCTTGTGAGTTTTTCAGTATTTATTATTATCCCTTATCATCTATGTAAGACAGTAGTCGTTCTGAATGTGAAGTAACTGGGTCCTAATTAGATGTACACTTTGTTTCGGAAGTTGTTGCCAAATCAAGTGGCTCCAGTCCACCCTTTCACGTCCACATAACTCGGAAAGAGTTCTTGTCGAGAGTACGCTTGGGTGATACAGGTACTTCAGAAATCAATTCTGAATCTCACTTTCCTTCCAACCATCTCCCCCTTCGTCGGTTCCGGCCGAAGCAGCAGATATCCCCTCCCCCGCTCGGCCATTTCCGCCTCCACCAACGAGACGACCGCCCTGTGCTCTCTTGACACGGCACCACATGCCCACATTCTTATCCAGGATGAACATCCAGATGACCCAGACCCAGCTGCGGTGGCAGGGGAGCGGCTCGTAGAACTCTTTCGCGATGCGGTGAAGCTCATGAAGCCTCGTCCACGGGATGGCCGGGAAATCGTGGTGCTCGTTGTGCAAGCCGACGTTGTATGTCAGGATGTTGAGGGGCCCATAGTAGGAGTATGTCTCTGGTGGCGGAAGGGAGTCTAGAGGGTGCGGCTGCTGCTTTTGCTTGCTGGCTCCGCCGTTCGCCCGCATTTTCTTCTGCTCTTCAATGCTTTCTGTACCGCCGCCCTCCACCCGGGAGAAGAAGTAGTGCTCGGCAATAAAATGGCCGGCACAGGGGTGGAGAGAGCCGGCGAGGAAGGAGCTGAGGAGCAGGTAGAGTACTGGCTGGAGGGAGCCGCCGCAGAACTTGGTGAGGGCATAGTCGAAGGAGAGTTGAGTGATGAGGTTAAGCAGGTGAATGTAGGTGAATGGAGGACTGTAGATGAACATGGGGCGGACGGCGTAGAAGAATATCTGGAAGGTGCAGAAGAATGCCTTGCCTAGGAGGGAGTCTAGAAAGAAAGCTTCAACGGCGGTGGGGAGGTCGGTGTCGAGACCTGCGACGCCGAGGGATTTATGATGTGTGAGATGGTATGGCTGTAGAGAAAGACAGACAAAAGGTCAGCAGGTCCACGTTTCTTTTACACCATTGCTCCGCGTATCAGTGACATGGTTTGGGGTTTCAAAAAACCACATACCCGGAAGGCGGCACTGTATGGCAGCCCAATTGGAAGATTGGCGAAGATGGCCAACAACCGGTTGGCCATCGCCGAACGAAAGGCCAAATTATGCGAGATCTCATGGATCGCAAGGAATAGATTCTGGTTTGCAGTTGCTCCAATTATATACGCCGTTGCCCAGAATGGCCATGAAAAGAATGATGTGTCGCGAAGGAGATATGCGCAGCAAATCTGAAGGGTAACAACGCCCAGAACGACATATTTGGTGAGAGGCTCAGGCCCGCAGAGCTTGGTTACCTAGAAATATTGACAAACAGTTAGCAGGTGGTAGTGTTGTTTATCAAAGAGGACAGCTACCTCTGGATGAGCCTTGATGATCGCCTGCCGCCTCGACCGATGAGGCTCTTCAGTATAGGTCCAGAAGAATTGATCTTCGACCGCCGACTGCTCCTGAGGTTGAATTCTCGCCGATGGTTGAGTATCCGGTGAGGACTTATCGCCCTGGTTCTTTGCGGCGGACATGCGGAGGTGAGGCGCAGAGGCAGTTGCAACGACAGAGGGCATGGTGGTGTAAGGGAATTGCAAGACTCGTGACAACTTAGTCCATGGATGCAACAGGTAAAAAGAGTGAACTGGAAAACGAAAGAAGACGATATGGGTCAATTGACGTTGAGCCTTGACGATCAGACAACAATAATAATTGGAGATTATCGGTCTCGGAGCTGATAGTTTCCACGTGGGGCTACACCGGCACATGATATGATTAAGGGACAAGTCGCTAATTTTATAACCTCTAGGACAGAGCAGCCATGGCCCTGGATATGTAGATGAAGGGTAACTGATTCATTCTTTGATTCTATATATGCTGAATTTCAGCCTGCGTCGTATCATTCTGCTTTCTTCGAAGCATTAAGCTCTTAGGCTCATCATAATATCCACATCAAGCATGCAAGAACGTTATGGACATTTTTTTAGTAATCGTCTCCCCGGCTTATGACTTCCTTTACGGTTGGTCTGAGAAGGATGGTCTGTAGTTAAGGTCAGTTTCTATTCCCGAGCATCAGGGTGTAAGTCTTTCCCATACATGTTCGAACTGGGCGGTGTATGAGCCCTTGACATCACAGAGAGGAGGATAATCCTGTACGATACCCGACGAAACAAGGTTATTTAACTGGAAAGGTATGTCAGTACTGTAGAAGAGAGGAGATTGCACCGGAAACGGCAGAGTATTGACGTACTCCAAGGAGATATTTCTCTTGGCCTAGTCGGTCAAGATACCGACGGCAGAAGGGCAGTGTGCCGAAATTCTTGTTGATGACATTGAGCAAGTTCTTCGCGGAAGAGAGTCTGAGAGGGACTGAAGGCGCATCGGGGATCAGGGCATAGTGGGATGTTTCCATCTGCAGAAAAATATGGGGGTAAGCATATTCCGAACGCAAGCAACGGTGTCTTCTTGAGAGCACTTACGTCTTCTCTCACGTAGCCCTTTCCAGTACTACCGAAGGTCTCGATGGCGAAGGTTTCACCCTCCTCCATCTTGGTTTGGTCACTGCCCTTCACAATGGGCACACTCTTGCCGCCATGGATAATGTGCTGATCGATATTGTGACCGTTCAGGTTCCGGATGCACTTCACAGGGTACATCGTGCCGTTGAGCTCGACTTCATAACTCTCCATGGCCTCCTGGATGGCTGCACCAATGTCGCTCATACGCACATCGATACCGGCTTCCTGCAGTGAATCGTCAGTAAGAAATCCTCGATAGCTTGAAGCCTGCGGTTTGACGAACCCGAATACCGGTGTTGGTAGCATCCTTGACGGCTTCCAGCAAAGGGTCGTAGACAGGATCAAAAGTCATAGTAAAGGCACTGTCAACAATGCGGCCGTTGATATGAGCACCAAAGTCGACCTTCATCACATCTCCTTGCTGCAACACCATCTTATTGCCGGCATTGGGAGTGTAATGAGCCGCACAATGATTAATGCTCAGACCGCAAGGGAAACCCATACCACCCTTGAGATTATCACCTTCCTCAAGTCCCTGGTGACCAGTCAGAGCACGCACTGCATCCTCAATACCCTCGGCAATTTCTGTCAAGGTCTGGCCGGGCTTGATGGTCCTTTGCGCATACTGGCGGACCTGACGGTGCACCTCGGCAGCTTGGCGGTACTCCTGCAAGAAGTCGTTGTTCATGCGATCCAGATAACGCTTCTCCTCGTTGGTTGTGCGGTAGGAATTCTCGTTCTTGTATTCGACGATTTCGCCCTCGGGGTATTGGTTGTTGGGGAAAAGATTCGATACTGGGACACGCGGGGGGGAACTCTGAACCTTGGCGCCTCCCTTCTTCTTCTTCTTGGACTTGCGCTTCTTCTTTTTCGCAGCTGCAATCCGGGGATTGTAAGTAAAAATTCCCAAGGCCTGACTGATAGGCATGTCAAATATGAACCCAGACGTGTAGGTACGCACCTCCTCCTGCACCGGCCTCCGGAGCAGCATTTCCGTCTTCCTTCTCGTCGTCCGAGTCATCTTCTGCCTCACCAGCTTCTGTCTGACCGACGGCAGTGGAATTAGCTTTGGCGTCACCATTCTGGCCGTTCACTATAGCGAAGAATCATGTTTCATTAGTATAAGCCGACTTGACAGAGTTGTAGACAGTGCATCGGATTTGAGGCGGGATTACTCACGGTGGAGGTCCTGCAGCTTCTCGGTAACCTGAGCCGCCATAACGAAACCTGTTATAGAATGAGGGAAAGACCGTCGGCTGGAAACAAAAACTGTGTAGCTGATGGGGGGAATTAAAGATGAGGAAGAAGAGGCGAAATACTTTGATGGGGAAAGTTCTGTGCCAAGACCGAGTGCGGTATAGACGACCGGGTGATAAGCCTTATGACGATATACCAGGGGCAAAGAATCATGATTGTACAAGAGGTGATGCTATACTTTTAAGAGTTTGGCCGACGTGAGTTATTGCAGTGGATTGTGACTTGGTCTAGTTTCTCGTGATTTTGTGGGGTAGATATATATTGTGGAAGTTGTCTATAATGAGGATGCCGCGCAGATCCTGATAATAATACCCCAGAGTAAGGGAATATGTGATCTACGCAGTAGTCGATGGAAACATAATTGAAGTTGGATACTAGACCAATCTGAATGAATGTGAAACTGTGTATAACGTGCCCAGTGCTAGTAAATCCAGCGGGTTTTGAAACTTGTCATATATCAAGTGGAGAGTAGGCCTGGGATCTTTATCAGATCTACTGTGTACATCCTGGCAATGTCCGACTGCCGATGACGCACCTACGACGGCGGGAATTCCCCGTTCAACTTCTAACAATCTTCTGTCAATCCCAGACGACTTC